TGCAAGGAAATACTAGATGTACAGAACACTTTGGGGGGCTGGGGTTTTTTTGCTGTTATACGTGAATCCCCCAGCTAATCTGCCGAGAGTCACAGAGTGGAGAAATTCTTGAGCAGCTTACAATATTGATGGACAGGAGAGATGGGCACAGCTTGATAGGACGCTATTCTGAAGAGAGAAGACTTTTACAGGACCACACAGCAGGCCAGTAATAGTATTTTTCCGAGTCTCAATGTAGTATTCAGCTGCTGGACTAAACTGCTTCCAAACTGTCTTTTTGTTGGGTGTAGCCTCCTCCCCTCTTTCCCAAAACCCAAGGTGCCCCCAGAGTCTGCAGAACGAGCTGGCATGGTCTGCAGAAGCCCCTTAGCCTGGCTCCTCCCTCTCTTTTATCTTTATAATAGCGTTGAATGCCTGTGAGCGTTCAGCGTTCCAGCAGTTTCATTGTGCCTGTTCATCGCGTTGCTTCTGCTAGTACCCAGTCAGACAAACGGAATAGGAGAGGCTAAAGGAATTGCTGTAAGTGAGATACTGCCTTCAATCACTGCTGTTCTTGTTCTAGATGACAAGGATCAAAGCCTGTGTGCAACAGGCTGTCTCCTTCCTAGCTGGTGGCTGTTCATCTTTTCCACTGCTGTTTTAATGGTGATGCCTGCCTTCAGCACTGCATACGGAAGACTGGTTGAGGAGTAATGTTGTCTTTTTTGTTTACATTTTGAAAGACTGAAAACCTTCTGAGGAGGGCTGGTTCTAGCAAAGTAACTTTTTAAATCCTTAGGTTGTTTTGCTGTAAAGCCAGCGTGAGAAAACTTTGTAGTACCTCCTCAGGTAGATGGTGAATGGATATTGCTATAGCTAATTTAAGCAGTATCTGAGGAACTCTTTACACGCTGGGAGGCACTAAACCCCTCTGCCTCCTGTTTCTCTCTCTCTAACTGGTTCTGTTTGTCCTTTAAATTAGACTCCAGTACTAAATTAGAGCTAGGGAAGTGTATCAGCCTTTGCAAAAACTTTTTTTTTGCACATACTTACACTCTATTTGTTCTTTTAAACAGTCAGCAGCCAGTGCGTTAACTCTTTCTTTTCAAGGTGATGCAAGCAATATATTACCAGCTCTGATTAGCTTTTTTTTGAAGGAGGCCACTTGAAATAAAGATCATTTTGTAGTATGTACCAAATTGTAAGGAAAAAGTAGCAGTAATTTACAGATAAAATCTACCAGGAAAAAAACAGTTCCTCGCTGGCTCAACCTGAAGACCACTGCTACGTTTTCTTTATGTGCCCTGGTGACCGATTTAGCTGTTCAGTTATGTGCTGCTCTGGCAACAGCTAACAGTAGCTATCACTTTGTCTATATCCTACAATTACTTTTTAGAAAATGTATGCTGATCCATAACTCAGATGTCAGTCCTCTCCTTTGATCCTTTCACAAGGCTCAAACTATTCCCATTTTGAAATATTTTTTACAACAAAAGACAGCATTTAAATTTAACCCAGAATATTAACCCAGAAAATTTAACTTCTCTGTAAATTTTACTCACCATCTCTTATTAGGTGAAAAAGGTAGAGAAAACGAGTGAGGGAAACTGCTGAGCTGTAATGTCAAGAGTTATCACAGGAGTACAGGTCTGAGGAAAGTTTCAAAGAGTTGATAAAGTAAGATTAAGTAAAGCCCAGTGTTCACTGAGCATCACTCAGAAGCAGGTAATGCCATATGTAGGAATTTTTTGCTATATAGTGTCCTAAATGGTAAGTTTTCTTGGGCATTTTTAATACGGTTTTTATAGTTTCTGGGGTAATGGTGTCCTGACCCTGGTTTGACACTATGATGACAAATACAATCAACAATATTGCAGTGGCTTGAGACTTAATATAACCTGGCATTGATTGTTTTTCATAGTTCTGTTGCTGTTTTACAATGACAAAAGTACAACTATTTCAAGCCATGCAGAAATTTTGTTGCAGAGTTTGAAATGAAAAAAGTTAATTAAATATTCTGGTTTTCACCCTCCTTCCCCCTACCCCTTTTTCCTTGTTCAGTTAAGAGTAGGAGGTTGAGACAAACGAGGGCTTTAGAAACAATTTCCCGTGTCTTTTGATGCAGCGTGAAACAGCTTTGTTTCAGATCATTTTGGCGCGAATGAAATAAAAACCTTTGTTTTCTGCAAAATGGAAAGTGAAATTAAGGTTTTGCTTTTAAGCCCCCTCTAACGAGAACCTCCTGGAGGAGGTTGTTTTATTAGTGCCTCAACTGGCTACTAAAATATCTTTAACAGCACCTTCCCATTTCTCAGAGCATAAGGGCCTGGTACTCAGGAGCTGCCTGCTTGAGCTGCGTCCTTCCCTTCCCCTGTGAACCCACGGGTGTGCGCCTCTTCCAGCCCCTCACTACTGCACAACCCTACAGCCGCCTCTCGCGGAACCTGCACTGGCTGTGGCACGGCTCTCCTTTGTGGGGAGCTGACTGGAAGAGAAACAGTGCAACAACCAGGGGATAAATCCACTTCATGGGTTTGTCACATCCTTTCTGCTGTAGCAAAGGGTTCACCAGAATCTTTTCCTTAGTGCTTGTTATGGTGGGTCTTGGAAGAGACTGTGTTTCACCTGGAGACCCTTGTTTGAATTGGGACTCTTCAGAATGAGGTGCAGAAAATGTAGGACATACTGATTTTAACCCAGCAATGAGAAAGCATAAAACCAGCTTTAACTACTTGCCTTTCATCTCTAGCAGGAAATTTCCTTTAGAGAGTAGATATTTCGGCTCCAATGGACAAAGGTCTTCACTTCGTGTTCTGTGTGGTTACAACCTTGCTGCTCCTGAGAGAATCATGCCAGACAGGTGAGAAAAATGATCCAAAAATGCTGGCTGCATCTGAATCTGGTTTTGTGCTTCTTTGCAGAGTGTTAATTCTTTCAGTCTTTAACTGCTAATGCTTATAGGATTTTGTCTTAATCAAACAATTTGCTCTCAAATTGGTTATTAAGATATCACCAGGGCCTACTGTTACTAAGTGCCTTTGCTGCTATAGTTGTAAATCAGATGACAGAGATCAGGGAAGATGAAAAAGCCTAGAAAAATGGTGGTTAGATGTCCTTGAACACCATTGTTGTGGTTAAAGCTGCACTGTGTTGAGTCTGTGGTCCCTTGAATTGCAGCAAGAGATGCTGATTAACTTGCTCTTCTGTGGGTAATGTTTTCCGTGTTACTTGTTTAGCCCCTCTGCTCATGGCATGTTTTGGGAATTTAGGGGATTGAGGGGATTTAGTGCATTGAGGTTGTCAGCTCTGTGACTCCCCAGACAAAGAGTAACACTACATTCCCCCTAAAGTTCCTAAGGGACAGTAGTAGGAGCCTGCCAGGGGCTTCCGCACAGCGATCAGCCCGTTGGATCACACTTGGCTCTCAGTGTGAGGAGCTGGGGAGTTTGCTTTTGCAAATGAACAACAAATGCTATTGTTTCGATCTTACTGTGGCGTTTTGGTGTTCTATGCCTGGAGCCCAGACTCAGGCTAAGGAGTAGCTTGAGCTGCAAACTGGGAAATAAAAATGGGCTCTCTGTTTAGAGGGTTGGGAGAAAACTTCACTTCCTCTGCTGTCTCTCCTGTCCATCTCATGCACCCATCTTCTGTGTACTCCGAGCTGGTAATTGCATAGCTACGGCAGCAGCAGTTCACCTCAGGTTGCAGATACATCAGCCATTTGCTTCTGTGTCGATGGTCAGATTGTCTCATAGTGAGCATTCTCTCATCCTGAATGTCCCAGTGTACTCCAAAATGTAATCCACCTGACCCATCGCCTCTTCTTTCAGTTCAGCAATCTCTCCTGGTCACAAGCTGGCAAAGGACGCAAAGGCAAGGGTACTAGCCTAGAGAGGGATGTTGGGGTAGCAAATTGGGGTGAGGGGGCCAGTTCTTAACAGTGCTACAAGCTTTTTACCATGAAGTTAAGCAGGGAGTCATCTCCCGTTAGAAGGCTGGGCATGCTCAGAGTAGAAGGGGTAAGGACAAGGCTGATTTTTGCAACCGCTGTCATTTCCTGTGGCCACCAGACTTTGGGAAGAAGAGTGGAGGGATGAGCCTCTTTTCTTTGTCTTATGTTTTTGTAGACTCTCACAAAGGATTCTCACAATGAGGACTTGGCTTCTGAGAAGTGTCACTGCAATGAACTTTGAGTTAGAGCTGCGACTTGATTACTTATGGTCCTTTCAGGAGTTCTTACAATGGGGCTTTGAACAGCTGCATCCAGTGGCACTGTGGGGGAGCTGAAGCCCTCAGTACAGACTGTTTTCTTCCAAGAAACCCTAGCAGGTCTTCGAAAAGGACCTCAAAAAGCTTTTACTGGCTTTAATGAGTTTCTAAAGGGAGACAAGAGAACTCCTTTGTGAAGATTTCCAGCTCCCATGGAGAACTGTGGTGGAGAGGGAAAAAGCAGGTTTTGTTTTACAATAGTGTAGAGTTCAGCACAAGGCCAGAAAATGCAAAACCAAAGAATGAATAAAACATAATGAATGAATATGTTGTTATAGTTAATGAAAAACTCACAGCTTTTGCTTGAAAGAGTGAAAACACCCTATTTTTTTTGTTTTATCTTGAGGGATTTTTGGCTTTTGCACTGTGAATTCTTTGATTGCAAGGAGCACTGCTGTACATGTTCTAGAAAAAACATCCTGGGCAATTAATGAGTCATATATTGACACAGTTGTGGGTTTAATTCAGCATCTCAACCATTGTAGTTTAGCTCTTGCAGCTGGGGTGGGATTGAAGTGTTCTCTTTAGTATTATGAAAAGGGAAGCTGTGGATCAAATAATTTAACAGGACTTGTTAAAAGTCACACAGCAGAGCAGCGAGTAGAACCCAGAAGCATGATTAACCTCAATAACAGTACTTTTATGGGTAGATCTTGGTGTTTTTACCAAAGAGAGGAGTATCATTACCTTTTGTTTTATGAATGGGAAACTGAGACTGTTCACTCCAGTGCTGTCTACAGGGTTGCACTGGCTCTCACCACACTTAAACTCGTTGTCAATTTTATGTACCTCCCTTACTCTATTCCTGGATGGGATAGAGAGAACAGGCAGCACAATGCAGGTTTCCTGGTCCCTTTCTTTAGCACTGTTGGTTTTGGTCATGGCCCTTTTGGAGGTTTTCATTTTCACAGAAAAGTCAGGGTGCTTATAATTTGAGGGAGGATCGGAGTAGGACAAGGTGGAGAAGGGTTTCTACCCCAGCGGCTGCACCTCTTTGGCTGCTTTGACAATAGGAACCTGTTATTGGTAGGGACTGGGAAGAATAAGAAAACCAAATGTCTTGGAACTTAATGGTGATGAACTTTTGGTTGTTTACAGGACTTTTCCTTAGGGGTATAGCCAAGTTTTTGCAGGAGTGAGGAGCTTAGTTGCGTGAAGTAGCAGGAGAGCTGGCTTTTCATCTTATCAGGGAGGGCAATAGGAAATAAGGCAATGGATTCTTCAGCATCCACTCCTCAACCTGTGAGTGGCAACTGTAATCACCAAGTTACAAGGAGAACCTCCTGCAGCCTGGATCCAGCTCTGGCTGTTTCTGTTTGCTCATGCTAGTACTGTGCTGTGAGCGAGGAAACAAGCTGGGCAAAACTGCTGCATGTCAGCTGCGCTGTGAGCTCCAGAGGCAATGATAATCATTCCGTTTCTTTAAGCGCAATATGAAATGACTGTATGAAACTTCACTTTTAAGAGGCTGTAAATATAAGCCCTGCAAGAAGTTGATTTTGTTGTTGTGTTTTTTTCAGGAACTACAAGGAATGATGATGCTATGAGTAAGGTATGTTTAAGTTCGTTGGTGCAGAGCTACCAAGGAAAGCATATGTGCATGAAGTCTTACATTTTAAATCCAGAAAGAGATGTGATCATGGTGTGCAATGCTTTTAAACTGTGAAGAGTTATTATTTTAAATATATGTTTCATGGCTAGTGATGGCCATTTCTGTTTGTGTGTCTATTCCTTTTTTTTACTCAATCTTTTGTCCAGAATTCAAAATTCAGTCATGCCCCAGGGAAGAATCTACCTATAGCCCTGCCTTCATAGCTTATAGGATTTAAACCTCAGAATTATTGCATCACTTATGATCTTTATAAACTTCTCAACGTTGAAGAAAATCCAGACACTTACGAACATCTAGAGATACCTTTATTAGTTCTTAAGATGTGTGTTTTATTTCCAAAACTTTGCACTTACACGTGGGACGTAATTCCTCAGGCTTTAGAAGAAAGATGGCAAATGTCACTTAAAATCTAACATGCTAGAACATGTATATATTCACTTAGTGCAGGACAGTATTTGTACTAAAGACTGTCCAATCAAAAATGATGGGAGAGTTGATTATGGTAGCATTGGAAAACGAAATCAATTGTCCAAATGGCATAGGTGTGGACAGAACACGTGTCACCTGAATCTCAGCTCATTTCTCAGTCTCAAGGTGTGCTGGATGCCTGTCAGGTGCCAAAAGAGAGGTTTTGGGACACTCGCGGAATTTCAGTCAGCTCTCTTATTTCTCCTTTGCCCCTGCTTGGGCAAATCTCCTGACCTGCCCTTGTCTCTTCCTGCTCTAGCCTTCTCTCATCCAGCAGTTTTTCTTTTAAAGAAGTTTTTGCATAGGTACCATAAACTTGCCGATATGATCGGTTTTGGTGCACTGCGGGTCTGTTTTGTCCATTTCTAAGCCAGCTTGAAATGGCTGCGTCCAGCACTGCGCAGTTCGTGGCCCTCAGCAGAGATCAGTCCTGCGCCACCCCTACCCACCCGGCTACCACTGAAATCTGGCAGCTTTTGCCCAATAAATACCCTGCTGATACATTTACAAAAGTTGTTCTATTTTGTTGAGGGTTTTTAAGAACCACTTTGAAACCATCAATAATGGGTGAAGCCAAGTGAGAGGGATAGGCTGGGACTTTTTGGTCTTTTGTTTTATTCGCCCTCTTGTTCAGTAGACATAAATATTGTAAACAGTCCTGAAAAGAAATGTGACTTTTTTGCTTTTGTCTAAGAGCCAATTGTATCTTATCTGGCAATAAGAACATTGCTTGTAGAACACTCTGCATTAGGTAACTTCTGATCACAGCTTCAAAGACAAAGCTCATCCCTCAAATCCTTCCATTGCAAAGAGAGAATTGAAACAAGATCATTCTGCTCCTGGAGGAACTGGAGCTTCTTTTGCAGATCTTGTACTGCGCATATATATATACACACACACGCGCGCATGCGTGCTCTCTCTCACTCTGTCTGGAAACAGTACTGTGTAGTTTTAAAATAAAGGGATACATGTAAGACCAACAGATCTTACAGAATTAGACCTCTTTACTGGCAAAAGCTTGAGTTGTTCTGAAGTAGTACTGATCAGAAATCATCTCAAGTTGTGTGACTCTGTAAGGTTGATGTACTCTTGAATTCAGCGTTCTGTGCAGAAGTGAATCCATGCTTCCTCTCCTCTTCCTCTCAGGTTTCCTCCTGTTCTGTGTCTCCTGGAATTACTCTCTAATGAGACTTTAATTGGCTGCTAACTGTTTTGTCAGCAACATGAATTGATCTCTCTGGAAGACTGTATGCACAGTGAATCTGAAGGATTGTGGCAATATTTGAAGTGATTTTTATTCAGACAAACTATGCTGACAACACAATAAAGTGAAATGCTTGTGATTTACTAATTACTGTTAGGGAACAGCGGTGGTGAGATTGCTGGAGCTTACCGGGGCAGATTTGTAGCTGGTATAACACATGCACGCACACACACCACACCTAGTTATAATGCAGCCCTAGCGAAGTGGGGCCGTGTCTGGGACTTGGAAATCCAATTATTTCTTTTTTATTTTTTGATTTGCAGGGCTCAAGGGGATCAGAAGAGGGTCTTCCAACTTTGACTGTCACAACAATCCTGGTAAGGCAGTGACACAATGCTGAGAGTGGCTGGGAGATAGCGGGAATTACACTTTGCCTTTTTTTTTCTTCCACCCATACATTTCCAGGTGGTTTTTTGGCCTTGGACACAGATATCCCTGTTCATCAGTGTTTTTGGAGCGCTGGCTCAGTGGTGGAGAGGTGCAAGCTGTCTGGAGTTTGGTCTTTGGGGAGGGTTTGCCAAAAAGATGGTTTCATTCGCGATCAGTTGCACTGCAGACTGTGGGAGCATGTAATTGTGTATTTTTCCCCTCAATATCCAGGAAGATCCTTATGTCATGGTGAGAAGTGCAGAACTGGAGGGATACTGTATTGACTTGCTGAAAGCACTTGCTGCAATGCTTCACTTCAGCTACAAGGTGAAGGTGGTGGGCGATGGGCAGTATGGTGCCGTCTCTTCCAATGGGAACTGGACAGGGATGATTGGCGAAATTTTGAGACGGGTAATTTTCAATTTATATTTTCAACAAACTGCAGCTCTAGAAGGAAGGAGCAGTGCGAGCGGCTCGTGGCTTCATTAGAATTTGCTGAGGGACTGAGCGACTTGGAGCTGTCCTGTCTGTGGTGTAGAACTGATGAATAGCAAGACTCGTAGTTGGGTTTTCTCTGCAAATATGGAAACTAAGGAACAAGGAGACAATGGCCGTAGCAGGAAATCATTGTTACACGGTGCTCCTGGTGCAGTGCTTGTCTCAAAGGCTACCCAGTGTTTCTTTGTAGTCTGAGGGACTGTACAGATATCTTAGCTAATGTTTCATTAATGAAACAAAGATAATGGCTTTAAGGAAAACTTACCTTGAACTTAACCAGTAGGTGAAACTTGTCTCTTTCAGAGTGGTAATCCCTTAGACTCTCCAAGGAGATGCTTGAATGCCCATCTTACCCCATATGTGCCATTCCTGTGGCTAGTGTTCTGTCTTCTGTTGGCAACATTTGAATTAAACCTTCTTTGCTCCTCTGAACTCAGTTCTGTGCCCAGCTGTCACCCACTCATGTAGATGCTGCAGCCAGAAAAAGAGAGGAACGTGCCTTCCGTATTTGGTAAACAAACCCAGCATGGTTCATGGTGCACAGCCTCAGCTTGTGTGTGCGATGCTCTAGTAGGAAACCAGGAGCCCCAGATACCAACCTGCACCCCACTCTGAACAATGCAAAATGGAAACCTGTTCTATTTCTTGGAGCTCAGCCTGAGATGGTAGCTGCCTATTGACACAGAGAAGTGATTTGCCATGTAGATATCTGCCCACTTGGCCTGGGAAGCATTCTGTTCGACAGAAATCTTCAGGTAGGTTGGATGGTTGATTATTTTTTATCTCCATCTTACAGGAAGCAGACATTGCAGTGGCTCCATTGACAGTCACGTCAGCAAGGGAAGAGGTGGTCTCCTTCACCACACCGTTCCTGCAGACTGGCATTGGAATCTTGCTTCGAAAAGACACCGTCTCTCAGGACGTGTCCTTCTTCCACTTCCTGGCTCCTTTCAGTAAGGAGACCTGGACTGGCCTTTTATTTGCTTATGTGCTGACGTGCTTCTGCCTCTTTCTTGTTGCCAGGTATAAATGCATCTGGTTCACAGATTTTGTTCAAGTCAACTGCTTTCTCAGCTATGAGGAGATCTCACTTTTAAAGAAAGCACTAGGGTGTATTTTGCTTTGAGAAACCTTCTGTACAGGTCCAGAACCAGGGCTAATAAAGCTTAAGTCATGTCAGATTACGACAGCATTAAGAGCAGGATCTCCCCGTGAAGAGCACCATCTCTCTTGATGTGGATTGCCTAGGGTTGCTAAAAGGACAGTGTTTGTACTTCAGCTCTTCTTTCTTGCTTTTATCAGAGTTTGTTTTGAACTACGACCATGTGCCTATGTGCAGGTGTGTCTCCTGGCGTATTTTTATGCTCTGTATCCTGCACTGACTTGTGGAAGAGATTCTCTCTGCCAGTGCTCCAGCCCCTTCCCGGGAAATTCAGCTTTCTCCCCCTTTCTTGATTAGGCTGCACTAAGGGTCTCTGCAGCTGCAGTCTTGAACAGAGGCTCTATTGATGCTTTTCTAGATTTGTGCACAAACTTTCTAGGTAGGGATTTGCTCCAAGGAGCAGCCTTCAGCCTGGTATTACACAACTGGGCCAGTATTGCCCCTCGGCTGTGCCAGGGAGACTAGATTATGCCATGGCTCAGGAAGAAAGTGTCTGGCAAACCTGCGACAGGCCCCCCTGAGCCATCGCTGTTGCAAACTACTGAGGCATTGAGCACGAGTACTTTCCTCTGCACTGGTTAAACTGGAACTCAGGTGAAGGAAGAGCTACTATGGAAGGAGAGGGCATTCCCAGGCTATCTGCACTGCTGCAGTCACACTGTGGGATTATTTAACTTTTTTTCCCCCTGAGTGTCTGGTTTTATCCTGTCATTTTCCCATAGGCTGAGCCCCTGTGAATGGAATGAGCCAAAGAATGAAGAGAACCACTTTACCTTCTTAAACAGCCTCTGGTTTGGAGCAGGAGCACTTGCCCTGCAAGGTGAGCTGGCAGGACTGCACAGGACAGTTCTGGGAGCAGTATGCTTGTTTAAGCTGATACAGCCAGATGAGAGCTGGAGCTAACACTGGTGTGCTGTCCCGATGAGGGAAAAGATGTTCCAATAGGGACGCTTGGCAGCACTAAAACACCCAGTTTGGGGAGTTTTGATTACAGACTTGCTGGAATTGTACAGATGGCCGGCTTCGGTTGCAGAAAGCGTATTTTTAGCATCTAGGGAATGTCAAGCTAACCGTCACGCTGATGCTTTGTGGAGTGGAGTTTTTTGCTGTTGTTTTTGGCAATGATGTTGCTTCATCTCTGCATTGCATGCAGTATTGACGGAGTTCAAACCAGCCATAGTAGGTTCTTTTCAGGCTTGTGCATTAAGTAGCTGCAGGGGAAGTTTTGCAGTTTGGCCTTTAGAGGGAAGTTTTTAACTCGGGCTCATGGATCTAAAGTTCTCTGGTGCTTTCTCACCATATTTGTTGGCTCCTCTGGCCATGCAGGTGTCACCCCTCGGCCCAAAGCGTTCTCTGTACGGGTCATCGCTGCCGTCTGGTGGCTGTTCACCATCGCCTTGCTGGCTGCCTACATCGCCAACTTCACCGCTCTGCTGACCTCTGGCACTGAGCAGCTCCCAATCCAGACTTTTGAAGACCTGGTGAAGCAAAGAAAGGTTGAGTTTGGGACACTGGACGGTTCCTCTACTTTCTACTTCTTCAAGGTGCAGAGAATCTCATTGTGCACGTACTATATTTTATAGTGTGCTCTCTTAAGAAAGCGGTGCTGGTCTTCAGGGTTTATCCTTGTGTACCTCGAACACGAGGGCTGATGTAGGTAATTGCTGAGTACATTAACTGGTGCCTGCAAAGGTGGTTTTTTGGGGGGTGGGAAATATTTAATACTTACGTCCCTGTAACACTGAAGATTAGAGAGGAAATCTCTGCTAGCTGTATGCTAGTTTTTGGTACTGTGGGTCAAAGGGCAATGGTTTAAGTACTCCTATTCTCCAAATTGTTTTGCAGTCATTGCACATACATGCAGATTTTTTTCGGATGCTTGTTTTACACTTCAGTTTGACACTTGGATTTTTGGGCTGCAGAACTCCAAGAATCCTATCCATCAGATGATCTATGAATATATGGACAAGAGACGAGACCACGTTTTAGTCAAAACCTACCAGGAAGCAGTTCAACGTGTGATGGAATCAAACTATGCTTTCATTGGTGAATCAATCTCTCAAGACCTTGCAGCTGCCAGGCACTGCAATTTGATGAGGGCCCCTGAAGTTATCGGAGCCAGAGGATTCGGCATTGCCACAACCCACGGTTAGTCTCTGCGCCACTTCTGTCCCACTTCTCCACTTGGATTTCATGGGTCCAAAGTAGCAGACTGACAGAGCAAAAGCCTGGCACGGCCAAGGCCTGAGGCTTGCACACATTTTCTGCGTTAACACTCGTATCTAGTATGAACAAATTGGGAACTCTGCTATGTGATGTTTTCATTCTGTAGATGAATTATCACTCACCAACTCTTACTTTGAGCTGCAAAAAATTCCAAGTCTCGGGGGTGTCATTGGTTCCTGGGGGTTTGGGGTTTTTTTTTGTTTTGGTTTGACTGTGCCTTGGACCCCGCAATGCAGAGCTCCTCACATCGTTAGCTGGGTAGACAGTTGGTTCACTTGTGGAGCGTGACTGCTTGTATTTCACAAAGTACCTTCACTCTGTCATTGTTCTGCTATTATCGTACCTCTGTGGATAGGACAGGAGCGGTTGTTCTCTAAGAAAAGCACTTGGCTTAGTCTGTTGTGTTCGGTTTGCAGAATGCCCATCTGACAGCTGGGAAGCAGCACCCAGCTAACCCCGCTCAGTCGTGTAGCAGCAAATTCCTTTAGAAAGTTCTAGTGGCTGTGATGTCTCCCATGCTCTTCTCTCTCTTTCCTTCCTCTGCTGCCAGCATCCTTGTGGACCAAGAAGCTCTCCATTGCTGTTCTCAAACTCCGTGAATCAGGTGATCTCGACTACTTGCGTAACAAGTGGTGGGAGACCAGTTGCCTTCAAAAAAGTAGAGACAGATGGAGTCCTCTGCAGCCCCAGGCTCTGGGTGGGCTCTTTCTTACTCTTGCAATCGGCCTTGCATTGGGAGTGATTGCAGCTGTGGTGGAGCTCTCAAATAGGAGCAGGCACGCTGCTGGACACGCAAAGGTAGGTGATGTGATGGCCATTATCTCCTGGCCTGCTCCCTCTGTCCCTGCTGCCTAGCACGGACAAGCCTGGCAGCAGCGCTGCACTGCACACAGTGCTGCGTTCCCATCGTGACCTTGCTTTTTCTAAGGAAAGCGGCGTGGTGTGGTGAGGGGGAGAAGATTTCCTAGGGCTTTACTCTTTTGTTCAAATTTCCTATCTTGGGCTGTGTGATAGTTTTGTAGCCTGAACAGGGTAACAGTAATAAAAGTAACTCCCCCCCAAATACTAAGTAGAAACATTTACTGTAATTCCTAGGCAGCCAAACTGCATGCCAGTATGCTGAGTGTGTACAGAGGACAGTAAATCATCAATAGCAAGTTTATTCTCGAGTATGGCTATTCTTAAGTCATTTGACAAGCAGGAAAACACATGTAAATGCAACTGCACTAGTATCTGAATGCGCATCTTGGTGTTCCTGTTCCCCATCCATTCCAACAGACGGGTCGTGCACACTTAGAAGGTGGATTCTATGGCACAGCACAACTCACCCCTTCTCTCCTTCCCTTTTGTTTTTCAGAAATCTTGTTGCTCCGTTTTCACAGAAGAAATGTGCACTCGTCTACGTATAAAAGAAAATACAAGACAAAGCCAGGAGACTTCAGGGAGGGCTAATGCTTAAGAAATTTTTGCTTAAGGAATGGGCCTGTATTAGGTTTATACCATATGTATTTCATAGGAACTACATCACTGTAGAAAGATGTTTTTCTGCAAGTCTAGAGTGTTAGTGTTCTTATTACAGAATCGCACAGAGAGCACTTCTGGATTGGTGGAGGAGCTGGATTCAGAAGGAAATTAAGTGGCTTGGAGGAATTTCAGCTGATAAGGGATAGAGTGTAGCTGTTAAAAATAAGGGAGGTTAACAACTTGGAAAAATAAAGTTGAGATGACCAAGGTGGTGGATCCGTATTTAGTTTAGAAGTTTACTGTGTAAGTACCTGATGCCTGTAGGAGTAAGTGATTGGGATAGGTTAGTATGGAGCCTCTGCTTACTAACTACAGTCTGAGGGACAACCTTGAAAACGAAAGCTCTCCTCTGGCTGTTCTAATCAAGAACAAGTGCTTCTTAGCCATTTCAGTTATAAATAGACTGTACTCTTCCCCTCTCCTAAGCAGAAGATGCTGGTCACTGTGAAGGTCATTTCTGAATCAGAAACGACAGTACTGTTGCATAAACCCCAGCAATGCAGGACGACTTAACCGCATGCTCTGCAGCGGCCTAGAACCCGAGGAAGGGACACCACGCGACAAAGGAATTACTAGACTTAAGAAACACAAGACATGGACTTGTCCTTTGTCAACTTCCCATCACAGGATACGTTTCCCTGTTTAGCCACAGAGGATGCTTTGCCCTGGTTAACCTGATCAAGTAGTATTTAGGAAGAGGACCGATAGCTGAAATCCCACAGTACTAGAGCGTGAGGTTTGGTAAGCAGTCAATTAAAGCAAAGTACACGTTCGCCAGGTGGGGGTGAGGCAGCGAGTAGTGGGTACTGTGCATTATTGTCTTGCTCTGAAATTCATGGGAACAGTTATCTCAGTTGTATATGGAACAGTTTTCTAATTAAGCTGGTTTTCATTTCTGAGCTGGAATGACTGATGTATGCACATGCTGGTTTGCAAATTCATGGTTAAATCTCTCCATTTATGTACTGCACATCTGATGGAGGGGGAAAAAAGCAAATTCGGTTACTTGGAAATGGCTTTAACTGCACAGCATGAACAAAGAGACTAATTCTTATCAGTCCCAGCATTAAATAACTGAAGGCAACAGAAACTAACATGCCTATGACAGGACAATGGCCGGCTGTTCCTGAATAAAGCCGTGCACGTTCACGTTGAGGGTAACTTGGTGAGACTCGGCTTCCAACTACTGCCAAGCAGTTCAGTACCGGTGCAGAACTCCCCTCCCACCCAGCTGTTAACAAGAACGAACAGTGAAAGCACTGCGAGTGACAGGTTTTTCCAACTGTTGGTAAACTAGTGATGTTCAGTTATCTGCTACCTGCTCACAGATCGCGACAAGTTGTAGTTTAAATACAGCTTATGCGAGGTTTTTTAGGTTAGAAGGTGGATTGGTCCTTCAATCAAATTAACTGCAGAGAGCATGAAACATTTTAGCCAAGTTTAAAAGCTGACATGGAAAATGCAATGTCAGATTCACTCAGCACTTTAAAATCTATTTGGTATGTGCCATGTCGTTGCTGGCAGAGTAGGCAGAGATGTATAAAAAAAGGTTTCATTGACATTTAAATATATTTCTATATGAATGTCTCACAGAACAAAAAAATAAAGTCTTTTCATCACAAATACTGCAGCATTAAAATAAACACTTACCAAAATAAACAATGAGTGATATACATATATATATTTGAGTGTGTATACTATAGAGTGAATCATATTGTTGCTTTTTAAGTCACAAAAGCACAATATAAATATGGAATTTCCTGTGAACTCTTTTCCCTGTTGTAATAAAAATACATTCTTTACAGTTAAAGTAAAACTAGTGCAAGTCCATTCTGCTGCTCCTGTTCACCCAGTTGACCAGATCCGTATCATTTACACGGCACTTCATACTTAAAAATGACACTGAAAATTTTCCCTCCGAGACGATCAGCAAGCCAGGAGTTTTTGATAACAGCAAGCTTGAGGCTCTCACACTTCAAAGCCGCGTAGTAATTCGTGTGGATGGCACGACCCATGCCTTCGATGATAACCAAGTCTGTCTTCCGTTCTCTGACCAGCACAGCCAAACCTTTATCCAGACGGCTAAAAGGAGAGGTCTGGTTTAGACACAGTCATCCTGACGCACGCTACAGACGAAAGACAGGCTGCTCTAAGGGCTTTATTGATTACATGAAATGTGGTGGGATATGGAATTTTGGATGGAATTACTGATGCCAATAAACAGGAACACTTTAAATCAAAGGAGATGAGCTTGAAACATAGTTGTAAAAGCTTCATTAAATGCGTGCAGAATTGGGATGTCCCAGAAAACATGGGCGAGTTCTGTCCCAGTAGAGAAGCTCACTAAAAATAAACATGTTAACACCACGAAACGCTGCTTCTATCAAGCAGACTGCTCGGTCACGTGCAGAATTTTACATCACACGTAACTAAGCTGCTCATGTAACTGACACTGCGTCACTGCTGAACACACCCCTGACCAAGGTGTCCAACACCTAGTAAGGCTTGATCAGGATTACAACTCTGTACATCCAGACTAAGCAACTCTTAAGTTGCGGAAGTGATTCGTAGTGGGAGAGGTGGCTGAGACGCTCCAGAGCCACGTCTCTGAACATCCCGCTGCTGATGGGGACAAATACCAAACGGGTACTTTGGAACATACCTTAGATCTAGACATGGAGAACTTGAACCTGTCTGAACCAACAGCAGCTTCTCTTCCCTCAGTGCAGATCTGTATTTAAAAAAAAAAAAAAAAAGACAAAACTGTTAAACAGCAACCTCAACAGGGCCATGCAAATCTGGTAATTAGCCAGACATCAGTGAATATCTAAGTTGTCTTTGCAAAGGCTTCTTTTCCTGCTGGGCCTTCACCAAGAAATACAATGTTTCCTGGAGCAAAAGGGTTATTTAGTCAGCTGTGTATCCTCTACCGGAGATATTCTATATGTGAAATAGATGTATTTTCCTCTATTCTTTTTAACACAGAAAATTTGTTCTAGTAGCTTGAATGCTTATCAGGGAAGATGCAGACAAGAAATGTAAATATGGATGTTCATGAAAGATCTGATTTCTAAATTTTTCACCTTAATGAAAGTAAATGATCTGCCTTAGTTTACTTCCAGGTTGCAGATTTCAGACACTGATAAACATGGTTAAATATGAACAAAGTATGTAACAAGGCACTTGCTTTTTCCTTCTCTGTGTTGTATGACACATAGTGAAGGTCGGTTATATGCTTACTGAATAACTGGATCCATTGCTGCTATCCGTTCAGTAACAATCAGGGATTCACTGTAGGTGACATCGTTCAGGGCAGGGCCAGAGTTACACGCCAATATAACCTGAGATAAAGATATCAGAAGAGTTCACTGATTAACACAGCCCACCTCCGGTCTCATTTGTTTAAGATCGCCATTGCCAGACTTACTTATTTTACAAAAGATGAAATATGAAGACAAAGGCTGGAGGCCCAGTCCTCATTTTCCCCTCAGTTAACAGCTATCTCAGGTCTCTTGACATTCTAGACCCTTGTTCAGCAAGCTTAGGTCTGGCAGAGGCTCACCCTGCTTTGCTTTGCTACCTTGACAGTATCCTTCGAGTTAGGCTTCGGGGTTCCCAGGATTTGGACTAGTCCCAATTCAGAGGTCAGGAGCCAGGCTGGTAAAGTACTGGCTGGCAGGTAGTTTACAAACCTGTCACCAATCACCAAAGCTTCATTGCACAGCAAATTCCCAATGAAAACCACTTACCTCTGTCCCTCTAGACAGGAGCTCTCTGACAAAAGGAAAGACTCCTAAAATGATGTCTATTCCACTGTTATCTGCGAAAATTAAGGCACATTTATGAGGGGGTCCCTCCTGTAAGAGAAAACCAACATATTCAGGATTGAGTTCACAATTCACACTAGTGAAGAGTTTGCATTATTTATAACTACTCACTTTAAGAGCCTACATTTTACACCCTTAAATGACTGGTAGTTTTGGTTATCCAGTAGCAGCATAACTCACCAGAACATCACCTACCCTCAGTCTCAGGAGAAATCGCTTTCCCTAACACTGCCTTTGCACAGTTATTTAAAACAGCCTTTGGTTACTTTGTGTTGTTTGAGCAAGGTCTTTCAAACTCCACAAACAAAACCTACATCTGCCAATGAAAGACATGCCCAACTCCAGGAGCTCCGATCAGGGACGCACCTCAGAGGCTTTGGCAGAGTTAGGCCTGTAGTCCAGCTGTCTGAGGCCAGCTGTGCCTAGCATGTTGTTACGCCATGCGCCTGGAGAATACCATGCTCTGGAACGGAAGCAGCAGCATGGGCAGCTGCGTACGTGAACGCGCTGGTTATCAGAGTAAACCTACCTTCGTGGCTGTTTTAAGCTAGCATGCTGTAGGGTGAGGAGGATTCCCTTCTGCCAGGAAAGGGCAGGATGGACTGCTGGGGGCAGTGACATCCTAAAATGAAAAGATATTTCCTATTCTCCATTAACCTTTTAATTTGTTCTAAATCTGATGTTAAGAAACTTAGTCCACTCCAGTTCGTACCAACAGAATTTTTATAGTGAGCAGTGCTTAATTCCTAATAAAAAAAATGTCAGGACAGTGCTTGCAGTTCCTTATTTATCACTGTTATACAAGATTAGCCGATATTTTTTGCTTTAAGATGTAATACATGATGATTTGTAATAGTCTACTCATACCCAACCTTTTGGCTATCATTTTCAATATAGAGATTTACACAAAGAAACAAAAGCTTTTCAATTAACCTTAATTAAATAGTAATAGAGATCACAGGGGCAAAAAACCCTTTGCTAATTGATAGGCTAATTACTTGCAGCAAGCTCCTAAATGAATGTTGTTGCTAGCTTGGCCACTCAGATGGAGGAACAAACCAAACATTCCATTTGGACCCAAGTTTTCAAAATTACGGGTCTAGTTGTATAGAAATAAGTGCCCTGATAAAGAAGGGACCCGATGTGGTTACTTTGGAACAGCTTGGAAAGCAGCTGGGTTCCAGCTGCTGCAGTTTCTGAGGGAATTCAGTTAAGAAGGTTGGTAAGTAACAGAGTGTCAGACTAATTCCTTTTATTCCTTTCTTTATGGTAAGGCTGCTGAATTACTGGTACTGTGTTACCAGAATTTGAGTTGTCTGAATAGAGTTCTGTTAAATGTGTTAAAACCCCCAAGATCAGTAAGGTGGTTTTATGATTAATATATGTAATTACTCAATGGTTAGTAACAATTGTGGAGTCGTACCTTCAGTCGCTCTAGCCACTGACTGTAGGAATCTTCTAACCAGGGACGTTCTGTGTCACAGACAAAATCGTGTTAGCATTTCTTTTAGGCAAACAGTAATTCTGTATATTATGAAAAGCAGGCGGTGTCTCTTTACAGATGCCTAAGCATTATGGCATTTGAGCTCAGGTTTTGAAGGTTAAATGTGTAGATTCAAAGAGTTCCTGAGCTCTTAATTAGGAGAATAGCTCAATTACAGCAGTCTTGAAATGGAATTTTCATAATAAAGCAGTGAATTCATGCAAGTTGGCTATCACAAAAACTCATCCTAGGATGGATGGTGTTGTACCTCCCAGGACACTACCTCCCTGACAGGGTTAGAACAGTAATGAAAAATAGCATGGCAAGATATTCTGAATATCTGTGTGGCTAAGACTTCTGTTCAAGGAGAGAGGTTTTCAGATTTCAATTCCTTTAGAACACAACCAGGAACATTCCACCGAAACTCTGTAGCTTGTATTTCAGATAACCCTAGCAAGTATTAACGGTTTCTTGTCATCTGGGCAGCAGAACTGCCAAGATAAACACGTCCACACTCTCCTCCGCTCTCATATTAACACAATATCCAGTTCCAACCACCACCACAGATCTCCCTATACCTTGTAGTTTTGACTTGGCTTCTTCAAATCCAAACTGTGGCTCAGATTCCAGAACACTGTGTCAGAAGAGAAATAAAGGGTACACAGTTAGGCAACTTCATCTCACATAAATATAACTCAAACATTTCTTTAGCAGGTGGTCAGCACTTCTACTGCATTGTTTATAATGGGGAGCATGGATAGGCCCAATGACCGAGAAACACATACTTTGTGTTAAAACCAAAAGGCTCAGATGTACATTAAATTAGAGTTCTTAAGCTAAAAGAAAAAAAAGCTTCAGCAATATACAGGTATTTGCAGCACTGGACTACAGGCAAAAAAGACATCTTTTGGTCTGCAGACCACCATAAAATGTAGTCACGATCTAAAATACCCGCATGGTAAAACAGCGCTTTACAAAGTTAAGATTGGTCTACATAGTTTTTTTTAAAGGGAATTAAAATAACCAGGTACAGGTTTTAAAAGCTACTGCCATTGCCTATGTGTATAGTAAAGTAGCCCCAAACACTCAGGTGGTGATGAGGGTTTACATGAGATGGCTAGGTTCTAAGCCATCAGTTAAAATACTACACCGTGTGGGCAATGCTTGCCAGTCAAGTCTCCTAACGGTCCTTAAATCTAGTACTAGGTGACATTTCATTCAGTCTGTATCTCAGTCCCTTCCTTAAAGGGAACAAGAGCTACACTAACACGGGTGGCAAGTAGCCTAACTGCTCTAACTGTTTCCAAGTTTCTGGTTGTGGGCAACATCAGGAGTAACACAAGACTAACAGTGCCCATGTAGCCTTGAATCACTTTGTTTTTAACGGGCCTCTTGATTTAATCAGAGGGAAAACTCCTCAAAGATGCAGAAAGGGACAGGAAGTGCTGCATGTCAGCTGTAAAAGAGTGTCCCTCTCCCATATACTTATATTATCAGCCCCACAAAAAGAAAGTTCTAGAAATGAAAAATCAAAAATATTTTAAGATTGTTGGCATTAGTAGCCTTAAATGACTTCAAGGCTGCTGACAGGATGCTAGAAAAAAGTTCTCCAAATGGTAATAAAATGTATGTTGATCAAAAATAATTGGTATCTAGTCAGAGACTACTCAGCCTAACTTACAGCCCACTGAATATATACTGTGATATTGGGACAACTGGAGGTTGCAGAAAAATAGCATATTTTCTATTCTAACATAGTACAACACGTACCCAAAAGCAGTGCTAGAAACAATGCTACAAGGAAAGCAGCCAGACTAGAATATTAAACGCTCTATCACTTAATTCAAACATTCTCAGTGACATGTCTGCCAGATTTAAAGGGTGGAAATGTAAACTTTCCCACACCACAACAATGCTTATAAATTAAAACCAACATTTAATTAAGGTGAAATACAAACTACATTTAAAGTTAGATTGGTGCATTTAAAAAAAAAAAAAGAACAATTGGATATTCTGTGTCTTAAAAGGGTGCTTTTAAAATATTTAACACCTACTCTGAGACTGCTTTTGCTCCCCAGTCAAAGACATTCCCCGCAAGAAGTCCTTTCACCAGAGCAAACTGCCTCTCCTCCCAGCCTAATGAATCCAAAGATTCGATTACGCTTTGAAAACATTTTAAGGCTATGCCATTTTCTTTCTGCTTTACCTGTAAGAAAGACACGAAACATTGAATTTATAGACAAAAATTTCTTACCCATCATTGGTTGTCTCAGTCCCAAGACCACGTTCAAGCATTGTCCTCTACGTTCATGGCCTCTAATGGACCAACAAGTTACTGTTATCAGCATGCTTAGTATCAAAAGAAAAAAGTTTTCTGGGATTCTAATAAAAAGCTTCATTAGTGCTAGGATATGATCTGTAGCCAAAAAATTAATTTTCTTAATTATGTTTTAGGTGCAATAGGTCTTGAGCAGATTGAGGAACGGGAGAGCGGACACAAAAAAACCCCCTTTTAGTAGTAACGTGATCCAGCAAACCCAGGTAATTACCATGAGAAGGCTTACCACTAGCAGTTCTACAAAAACTGGAGAAAATTTTTTTTATTTATTTTTGCATCGAGAGTTTCATCATCCCAGATGCTTAGAAGCTCTTGAATTTTTTTTCTCTGCTTCTATCTCCAGTGAGATCACTGTTGGATAGCTAGTTATCTTAAAAAATTTAAAAGTGATACTGGGTGCCATCTCTACATCAAGATCTTTTCTTGGCAATATCTTGTCTGAATTACCAAAAAGCAAACATAAGCCAAAGCCATCTCAGCTCTTTCTTAGAGTGGATTCAACATCCGACAATACAGCTAGGGAGAACTTTCTATGTATTTTGTAGAAATTTATCAGTCAGAAAAAAAAGTCTCTAGCACTGGTGCTATTGTTATTTATACATCCACACAGACAACTGGTGAGGATCAGACCTACAGAAAGTTATTTCTGAGAAATATTGACTTCACATGTCCTCTCCCCCAACCATGTTATGTCACAGAATAAAATACAAAGAGAAGACAGCTGCACAATGGCAACAAGTATTAAGAGCTAGAGGTTATGCATTTGTATGCATTCCAACCCAGCTCTGCTGAGTATCTCAAAAATTACAAAAGTAATAAGGAATCCTTCTACAGCACAGCAGGAAATTAATCCAGAGACAGTATGTAAGAAAGCAGCACAGTTTGGTTTAAGGACAGACTGCCTCAATAAGTAAGGGAATGTGGGGAGGCTGGGGGTTTTTCATGCCTTTTTGGACATGATGAGGTGAGGGAGGATGACTGTTTATGAACACCTCCCCGCTTCCGTTTCCTTCCTTAGGGGATGGGGAAGAGGAAAGAAGAAAACAGACTTGAAGGTAGTTAAAGGAACACAGAAACGTCAGTTCACAGCACTGACTTTTGCATGGAGCTGCTGAGATCGTTAACTGCTCTACAAGGTAACAATGCCAAGTATCCTTTACAACTGTCTGTGACTTCCATACTTATTGGGAAGTATATATAGCTACAGATAGCTTTACATTTGAAAATGGTTTTCACACCATGAAGAGAATTAGGAAAACGAGGAGAAAAAAAAGGAAAATTCCTGAAGTCTGCCTGACTGCAGCAGCAGCCTCAGTAAAAAAGGAAATAAACTGTCCTCAAAATTGTAATTCTCAGGTCACTTGTGAGGTATTCCATACTCGGAAGCACAGGCTTTCCCACACAGCTCCCTCAGTTCCAAACTGAAGGAAACACGGCCTCACTGAAGGAGCAAGTTACAACAGTATCTGATGACAGATACAGGCACAGGACTGACACCATCAATTCACTTCTCCAAAGCATCAGATAACTGAAGCTGGTAGTATTTTTGCTTAGCATTATCCTCACCATGAACACGTTAGAGGTCAAAGACTTTATACGCCATTACCCATTGCTGTTTCTCCTCAGTGACAACCACCGACTGGTTAAAACTGCTGCAAAGTAGCCAGTTAGTAATGTCTCCCCTACAAGCCATTACTTATACAAAGTTTCAGAGTATGGAAAAAGTGTCTTGAACTTACATGTTGTCCACCCTGTAAAGCAAGAACAGCTTACCTTTGAATAGGGATCCGGAAAATTGAACTCGTTTAAACAGTGTTCCCTTGTATCCAAAAGACTTCTAACTGTTAAGGTGCCATATGCACTTTAAAAAGAGAGAAGGGGTGGGGAGGGGGAAAAGCGATCAACTACTTCAAACAGAAAAAAGGTATTTTCTCCTCTGTTTCCTCTACAAGTCATAGCACTTCAGCTGAAAGTCTTTACATGCCCCATGTGCTAAATGTTAGCATTTTTAGTTTGCTCAACAGAAGCACTAAGTGATGAAAAAGGGAAAAGAAAGGCACTTACAAAGGCTGCTGCCTGAGTGTCTGGAGCTTATTCCAGTATTTCTGTCGGAACTTTTCAGCTCTCTCCAGCGCATCAATAGAGTCTGGCTGACTGGCTGCAGCACGCTTTGCCACCTGGTAGAGAAATGAGGCAAGACTGAAGTTACCAAAGGAATTCTTCCTCCATGTAACTGATCTGAAGTTCAGTTTAAAAACTAACCCCTCCATCTGCTATGCTGTTCAGTGCTGGCATACTATCCAGTCCCTCCCACACAGTATCTTCCAGCTTTCCTTTACTCCAACCACTAAAGAATAATTTTAAATACCTCCTTTCTTCTCACAAGATTTAAAGTTTATTTTCAAGACTGTAGTTTCAGAAATTCAACACAAGTTCTAACTACTTATAGGAGTGGAAAAAATTAACAAACGCACACACACAAAAGGAGAAATGGGCAGAAATGTAACAGTCCACATCAACCCCTTGTGTTTTTTTTTTCTTTACTACAGTAAGGTCAAGTCAATGTGTTGCCTCTGTATTTTTCCCAGCCCTTTTCCTCCTGACACACACGCATGAGGTTTCTAATTTGGATTTTCGTACTAACTATTATAGCTCTTAAGTACTAGCATGCACTGACTGAAGCAGTTTCACAGTGCAGAAAAAACCCCCTCACGTCTGATTAAATCACGCTCTTCACATGCAAAAGTGGCCATAAGTCACAAGCACTGCTCTCAAGAACAAGAAGAATGCAAGAATCTATGGCCTTTGTCTTTTTGGCCTTTGATTGTATAACCACCCTGCTTGCCAGCTCTGTATAAAGAGATGGTAAGTGCCATTTAAGAGAGAGGGTGCTTTGAAAACACCTTAAAAAAAAAAGTGCACCATAGGAGAAGACTACTTCTGCCTTTGAAGGTATCAAGCACTTCCTTAGATGCCTCTGTTAACAGGGGAAAGAGGAACTGTACTTATACACAATACATTTGACAGAGCATGTGTATTTTGCAGGGTAAATACATTGGTCCATGGAAAATTTATTTTCTGCATGTTTGCATTATTCATACATATGACGGTTTTGTGACATTTACCCCATCCAGTGCCTCCTCAAAGCAGGTGAGCCAGTATTTTCTGGCCATGGCGTCATCTGTGAGGTCAACAGTGTCTGGAATATAGGTTGATGGGTCTTTCAGCAGCGGTAGGTTAACAAGCGGTCTCTCCAACCTATCCATTTCAAGCATGTCAAACTAGGTGAAAAATGAAAGATTTATTAGAACTTATTCAGAAATTGATCCATAACAAATTAAACTAGTACAAGGGCTACAGAAGGCTATCACAGTTAAGACTGACAAGTTTGCAGACAACTATATTACAGTGCATGTTATCAAAAATAATGCACTCTCTCGCATGGATTATTTATCTATGCCTACCCTACAGATGGAGATGTTGAAAACTTACTGTAAGCCCTCTATTTTATTACTTTCCTTCCCATCCTCCCCAATACTGTCAAATCTGCTGGGCTATAGGGTTCAAAGACAGGAGCGCAAAGAACTGAGCACAGGCTTATTTGTAAAGAAATGTTGCTATGCTGCTTTACAACTTCCTTTTACAATCCTGATCAAGTCTCCAAAACTTTTCATTACGCCTTATGAAAACATTGCTTGGGATCAAATTTCTAGATCGAATTTCTGAGGATAGAGATTAAATTCATGTGAAATATGTATAGTTACACAGCTCTGTACATAAAGTATGCCTTATTTCTTGTGTCTGAAAAAAAACTGTGCAAGTTTATCTTTACTTTATACAACCATCTAATCACATTGCATGGCCTAGAAACATTCAGACTAAGTAAAGATTAAAGCCTGCAATGTAACAAGACTTTGTGTACATACACCACAGTGGTTGCTATAGAATGATTGTCTTCAGTGTTAATTTCACTGCTGAAAAGTGGGTATTTCTGAACTATGATTGGCACAAAGAAATTTCACTTTATGTGAACAAAGTGAGTGCCAAGCAATACAGGAATTCAAAATGGAGAAGCTGTGGACAGTACATTACAGCTGGTTTGAGACTCCTGTACCACTTTCTTGAAAAAAATAAATAATCTTTTCACAGATTAAGGGATTGACAAACAACAGGAGATCATTACATCTGTGTAATACTTTTTAAAAATTTGTCATATATTTTATGAGTAGGAAGTTATCGCGTTATTTATTTTTTGGTCATACTTGCAATCCACAATTTCATTACAATAATTGCAGTTATGGCAGAGCTTAAAATTAGATATATTTTTTACATATAGGCACAACCAACAAAATCCATCATCCGCAGCTCATAGTGGACTTATATTAAGGCATTGTCTGGGAAACCATTCAGTAAGAATTCTGTACCTCAAAAAAGCCAAGCAACCAACAGAAAACAACTAACCAAAACCAATACCTGCTCCTCCCCCCACACACACCCTATAGCAAGGTTAGGAAACTAATTCCTGAAAACTGGGAGGAGATAAATCAACCATGGAGGAAATTTAAAAAAAAACAAACAAAACTTTACAAGAAAAACACTGACATGCAGACCAGTAAAAGACAGTAAACCAAAATGAGCTCCACTATTCTAGCTTCTTTTCAAAAGCACTTCAGCAGATGCAGTATTAGAATATTTTAAGAACCTTAATGTATTTTCTGATTGCTTACTGTATGCCAGTTTCACTGTGAAATCGGAATTACTGTATTGTCAGTGTATTTAAGAGATGACTGGGATCATGCTCTTCTGTCCAATTATATATTTCTCTTCTCATAGGAAGTAAATAAACGCTGCTTAAAGACAGTGGAACATCAGATTCAAATTCTGAAGCACAATATTTCAGCTATAGCAAAATCCAGCTACTTCAGAGAAAGGGTAAGAGATAAATGTTGTCCCCCCACACACACACTTTGGCAAAGGAGAATAAGACAAAGTAGCAGCCACAATCTGGTTTTATGAGACATTACATCAAACCATCACACAAGACACAAGACAACATCGCACATGACACAAGACACCATATTAGTCATTCCTTTTGGTAAGCAGGAGTCTCAGGGGCACAAGCAACTAGCTTGAGAATAATCACTTATTTTCAAATCACCATTACTAAGAGAAGACACTTAGTTCTAGAAAAGACAACCACATACTGTACCACTCCTTGTTCTCTGCATAGGGTAAACGTCAGGTGATGTGCTCATAAGACCAGAACTCCCAGCATAATTCTCTCCCCAGCTATACTGATTTGGATCTAGAAAAGAGAAAGACAGAGACACACATAATCTGAAAATACTCCCATGAGTGAGTCTAGACTTAGCATCTTTTCAGAGAAGTTGCTTTACTACAAAAGCCATCTTCCCTTGTCTTTGTAAGTAAACATAATTTTTCCCTCTAACCCCCACAAGAAATGTTTCAACCACTAAGTGAATTACCTAGCTCTGAAGAGCTTCAACCTGAATGAGATATAAGGCAAAGTTCTAAAATCATTCTTTTTTAACCCCCTTTCCTTGTCATTAAGGTCTATAACCAGCATGCTTTCAAAGTACTATCACTGATCATAATTTATTTGTAAATTTAGATCCATTATTAACAAAATATAATTACAGAACACTCAAAGCACAATGTAAGTTTCATATAAACACTAAAGTTACTTCTAGAATATTTTTTTCATTTGAGAAAAAGTTTAATCAAGTTCAGATGTACAGTACACGCTGCAGAAGCAACATCTTTAATTCCTCAGTAGCTGGTTCCTTGCCTATATCTATAAAATGGGTATAAAAAGAATTCCACATCCATTATTCTGAGGTATATTTGATATTTACTAAGTACCATTAACAACCTCACTATCTGTTCCACTATAACTAATATACTGGCTTGCTAGTGCATCAACAAGAAAAAAAAGAAAATAAACATGGCAGAATTCAACCAAAGCACCCTATACCCAAAGAATGCTGGACAGAAGTGGCTCATCCTTCATCAAAGTCTGCAAGGCTTTTCACTCTCAAACAAACACAGTTTTGAGATGCTGGTATTCTTCAGAAGCTGGAATCTTAAAGAGGGGGAAAGTTCTCAGTAACCACATTTCCCCAATTTGATTTAGTTATGACTGTTCTTTGCAGAAATGCAGAAAAGAGAAGAGCCAAATCCTGCTGGCTTCTCAAGGGTGAGCAGGAGAAACAGTGAGAAATTAAGATGTCCCTGCCAGAACACATAAAACCAAAGACCAGCATCTGTGTTTATTAGTGCCAAATGTATTTATTTAGGCAACAACTTACATGCAGCCTCTTAAGAGAAACTTGGACATTACACTGACATTTCAGAACACAGCATATACAGAACATAGCAGTGCTGTACTTACTGTCTTGTTCAGCTCCTTTTAAAAATGCCCCAATGGCTCCCAGGTAGCCTTCATGTCTCAGGAACAATGCCTGAACCTCTCCCTGCCACAATATGAAACATTGCAATTGGATGGTCCCTGATGGCTAATAGTACTTCTTTGTCACTAGTTTTACACTTAAATTTAATAAAAACAACTAGAAGATGGTAATATTCATTTGTGCTACATTCTAACACATTCAGTAACTTTAATAGTGCTTCTGAAACACAGCTTCAGGAGGAACTGCTTACATATATTATTCCACATTATTGAACAGCTGGGGAAAAAAAAATACATGCAGAAGTGGAGTGTATCCTAACCCTGCACAACCACAGAAGCAGAGGGAAGCCAGTGCCTTCACTAGAAAAGACCACTGCATCGTGCCATGAGTATTCAACTCCTCTTGCTTGAACAAGCTGGAAATAGAAGGTCACCTGGTCTCTAGGTCATCAACGTGAGCGTGTGCCACCGTGCACCCAACACATTCGAGACATTGCTCGTTATCTTTATTTCACTACACTGCTATTCAACATTCACCAGTACACAGACACTCTGTATATTATCCATAGGCAAGCATTTCCCCCATCAAATTAGTTTAACTGCTAATATAATACACGAATGCTAGGGAGAATAAGAATACCCTCCATCCTAGCAGCAGGGTCCCTTAGCTTTCCTAGGCAAGGCTGGGCAAGACACTGCCTTCTCTACAGGAAAATCAGCTATGGCTGCAGCAGCGGCTGTAAGAACAGTTAACACTGAGGTAAACTATAGTAAAAGATCAGCTACAATTCATGGTGAGATTTGGATTTGAATCACTGACAAGCTATTCTTACAGACATCTAAAGCTGCAGTTTTGCAATAGTTTTCTTGAAACCCAACAAAGTTTTACAGAAAGGGACTGCAATGGTGAAATAAAGGGGAGGGGGGGAAAGCAGCATACAGGAGTCTCTTGCCTGAAGCACTGAGATGAGGAAAAAAACCTGTGTAATCTAATCTATAAAACTGCAAAAGCGCAGGAACTAATCTACCTGTAATAAACATTGTGAGCTTTTGGACTTGACTGTTTTTCTAGTGAAAAATCTTTAGTATTTTCCACAGCTTCAAAACCTCCAAAGAACTACAGCTTGGTTGTTTTTTTGGTTTTGTTGGGTTTTTTTTTTTTGAACAACAAACAAACAACAGCAAGCCCACACTAATACTAACTGCTATCTCAGGAGAACAATCCCACATTGCATAGCCTAGGGGGTGAAAAGAAATAGATCCAAGTCAGCAAGAGGAATTGAATAACAATGGTAGCTATCTAAGAAAATAGTGAAAACTCATTACTTGGCAGCTACAAGACAGACTGTCAATCAAAAAATAATAATGAAGAGAGAGAGGGACGGAGATAAAGAGGCCAGACAGAACTCCCAGACAATTAACACTGATTTTACCCCTCCCACAACAGACCTTTCTAGCCCTGCCTTACCTACCTAAACAGCAGCCCTCTAACCTTATTTGCTTATGTGCAAATTCATTTATTAAAGTCTCCCAACAACCTAGAAAGATAACTAAACACGTGACTGTGCTATTACGAAAAATCTCTGTTTTCATTACCTTGGAAAAGAAGTTGATACTGTAGGTTATTGTGCGCATGGTAACAGGGTGGCCCCGAATAAAGAATCCTCCAAAATATATTTTATCTAAGTTATGGAGTTTGGCATAGAGGCAGGCGAGTTGACCAATGTCATTGCTGATCATGTGTAGTAAACTTTTTGCCATATCTTCTTTGGAAAATTCTTAAAGGAGAGAAATAGTAAATCAAATTAAACATAGCTGAAGAATGCTCAAATGACTGTACTTGTCTAACAGATAGGCTACAGCTGAAGGAAAAAAAAAAAAAAGGAGTTTGACCAGTCTATGTGTGTAGAGGAAAGGTGTTTCCCCGCCCCCGCAAAAAATCTTTTATTAAAAAAGTACTTCAAACAATAAGGAGTGTGTATTTGACTGAAGATACCATGACAAAAACACTAAGCCTCTCTGAAACATTGCTTGAAAGAAACCTGCTTAAAAGGCCAACAGCAAATGGCAAGAACGCTATTTCGTCTCACTAGGAACCATGGATGATGGTTCATCCATCCATCTTGACTTGAGATGCACCGCAAGCATTTTATTATAATGCTGCAAATAAAATTGTAAATTATAGTAAATCACTGCCATAGGTTCTTTTCTGGATCAAGAAAGCCAGATATACTTCCCACAGGAACGAATTAACACTGGGATAACTAGACAGCTATTTTTGTCATTTGCCTAGACTTCTGCAATGCCAAACTGAAAATCTGAATATATGCTTGTAAGGCAGTGCTATATAGTATTTTTAATCAATAAAATATTGTGCAGGCATAACACCAGGAAACGGACAAGGCAAGATATGTTTATGCTGATGAAGCTGGCAACTATTTTTCCATCCATTGAGGTGTTCACAGGAAGCTAGTGCAAGCAGCAAATCCATGCTGACAGGCAATATAAAGTATTAACTGTATAGCATATCTTGGGTAGATCTTTTATACGCCAATACCTTTATCTGCTGTAGTAGATTTCCCGAAGCTGCTAGCAATCAGATTTCCACTTAGCCCCAGGGTCTGGTAGGCGCCTCCATACACATCTTTCACCAGCATGTCTACATTTGTGTGCTGTCCCTTTGAAGCAAGTTGCAGCAATTCATCAAATTTCTGAGGATGAGAAGCAGAGTTACTCTAGCTTTCCTGGACCTGGAGCCAGAGGACCTTGCCCAAAGTTCTGCGGCATCTGTACTGACCAAAACCCAGGCTTTTGGCTTGTCTTAGAATCAACCCTGCCAGCAAAAGATATATTATTTCTAATTACAAGGACTTATCCAGAGTCCCTATCTTGTCAGACAGACTGATCTGAAGTGGAGCTCCTTTAATGATGAAAAGCACAACCCTCCTCTTCAGTTATCTGCAAATAATTTGTTGAATTTCCCCTGAATACTAGAAATGGATCAGCACATAGAAAATAGGCAGAAGCTTCATGCATCTCGTATCTTGGAATGACGTCAGAAACAGAGTAACTACAAGCAAACAGAATTATGTCTTCTTGAAGCATAAGAAAAAAAAAGTTTAAAACCCAAAAGACTAAGTCTGCCTTTACTGCTGCAGAAATGCATGAATGTCCTTGAAATTAAACTTGCACGCAATCTGCATTATCCCAATACTTAATTTGTAAGTCTGTTAACCCTAATTTCTTGTTCTATAAAATCAAAGAGAATTAAGAGCGGACATTGCCATGTTCTAAGATTTCTTTTTTAAAAGCATCAAACAAAATATTGCAAGTATGGGTCTTCCCTTTGACATTTTCTTATTTGGGTCATATGTAACTCTAGCTTTTTCTACACCGCTGACATTTAGGGACACCTATTTAAGCCACATAGATCTTTGAGACAGGAAAAACCAGCATGATTTAAGAGCTGAGTTAGGCAGAGCAGTACTAAATGAGGCCTTATTCTGGCAGATCACCAACCTAGGATTTAAATGACAAACCCCTGAAACTGTAATGTGTAACAAAAAGTTAGAATTCTTCCTCTCTACTCGTAGACATTTTGCAGTAATTGGGCGCTCTCTGCTTTGCTTCTGTAGATAATATTGCATGAACTAGGTGGGAATTTCATGTTGGAAAAGAGTACAGAAAATTAACAGGCCACTTTGAGGAAGCTATTCTCTGCACTATAGGCATTATTTGTCCTTACTGACAAACTCCTTGAGTCCCAAGTAGGATTACTATTCTGCCATCGATGAGCACCTTATCATTTTTGTCCGTACATTCCACCAGTATCTTTTTGCATTTAAAGCTTCCTTTAATGCATCAGAAGCGTTTAAAAATATGAACACAGATCAAGGACTCAGCCTTGTTATCTAACAGTCTAGGACCACAAGCACCTAATGGAGAAATTTAAAATTGTCTTGAGCATTGCAGAACTCCCTGTTCTGTTTCTGCATGCGGGCAGCAACTCTTTGAATAAAAGGTAAACAACCCAAGAGAAAGACGTAATTTTTTTCATCTTCTAGTACACAAATGTTGGACTTCTGGTTTCCCATACAAACATTACTTAAAATAATTATTTCTCCCTATTCAAAGAGTTCTGCATTCCAACATTTCAAGCTTCCTCTTAGCATCTCATTTAATCCCCACTCCCCTTAAAATTGACACTTTGATACCTTTGTTTTTGTGAGCAGTGCTCCAAGACCCCAGAAGGTTCCACCTCCAATTGAGCTGCCTCCAATCCATTCAAATTTGTCTTCTGTTTCTACCTGTCAGCAAAACAAGGCAGATTTGTCTAGAAAGTCCTATTATGACTATAAACTCACAGTAAGACATGAGAGCTCGTGGGATTTTTTTGAACAGTGGAATGTGTGTAGGTAGAACTATTTAACTGTGTAAATATCAGGTGAGAAGTTCTCCAGAGGTACATGTTCCACACACTTATACCACAAGCAGTTTCTGATATCTTTGTATTTAATTTTTAGCCAATAATCCTAAATACAGACATTAAATTTGGTCCCCCAACAGTGCAAATATTAAAAAATCACTCTGATCTGACAGCCTTTGTCCTCATCACTTAATATAACAACTTATCTAAACACCTAATTAAATGTGGGGGGAAAAAAAAATGGTAGTGAATGGAAAAGCATTCATAAGTCCAGAAGAAACAGAAATAAAAAGAAACATTATTTTCTTTCTAAACTTTTTATTACCCAAGAAGAAACAACTACAAATCTAGAACAATCAGATGTTTCAGATCACCTTTATCAAATTCCACAATAAAACGTTTTAGCAACTACTCACCTTCACTATAGAAACCCCCGAGCCAATATTCACCAGTAAGTAAGGGAAAATATTTGGATGGTTCGTCTGAAATCGGAACTCTGTATCTGAATCTTTCTGGTATGCAAACACTTCATGGGGTATGTTCCTTAGCACAAAGTTGCATCCTTTAATTAGGCAAGTCATTACATCTTCTTTATCTACTCTGAAGGGAAGGGGAAGGAGAAAAAGCCTTACATAAATTTCACAGTCCTATTGATAAGCAAATATGCTTTTAGAACAGCAGTTTTTAAAGACTTTACAAACAGGAGATAGTAACCCATACCACATGGCAAGAGTCCAGATCTCTTAGAACATGAAATCCACATCTGCATAGGTTCTGATGTTCATCTTCCATGCCAGAACACACAGTCTGAAGTTAGACTGTAGTTACACAGTAACTTTAATCTTACATTGATCATGCTGTCATTAAAAATAAGCCTGCTCCCCTGTTTGCTTGTTTACAGTGCCTCTTTAGTGCCCTGGCGCTACCACAAGTATTTGTGTACCCGTGCAATAAAGTAGGTCAGGAAACTTACCTGCAAATTAACCTCAAAAAACAATTTCCTGATATGGGATAATTTTCTATTACGCTTCCCTTTCCTCCTCAATAAAGGAAAAGAGCCCCCCTCAACATTTCAGCACTTATGACAGATTAAAGTGACTGCAAGGAGCCTTCTACTGAGATTACCAAACACAGCAAAAAAAAAAAAAAAAAAAAAAAGACTTCTCAGAAGAATAATAGGATTCACAACAGTGCATATGCTGAGTATGGAGACAGGGAACATGACAGATAACTTAGCTAAGACAAACAATGTAGTTAAAAGTCAGCTAAGGCTTACTGACTTCTGTATCTTATGTATTGTTACTGATTTATGGTAAATTTCTTAAAGGAAATATGGTAAATTTCTTAAAGGAAATATCATAAGCCTTGTTGAAAACACATAAACAAAGCACAAATACACATCTAAATTAATACAGAATGGTTTATGTTTGTCAGGATGGACAAGGTGCTGCTTTTTGGGCCTGTGGATCAATTAAGGGTGTCATGACCAAACAAAAACCAAAGAAACAAAAACCAGGTGCACCACATGAGAAAAGGGAGGAATTGCCTCCTCGGCTTGATTAATTGATACTTAGTAACAGCCAATAAGGTACTGGTGTAGGCTGGTTTGAAAAAAAAGTTAACAGAATCCTACCTATCCGAAGAAGAAAGTAATTTGGAAAAATAGTATAAAAGAAGGTGAACAGAGTACCTCAGAAACTGCAGGATGTGCTGCATAGAATTACAGCATGGGAGTTGCCTTGAAGTTCTCCTCTGTAATATCAGGTACTGGGTTAAATTAATGATATTTTTATCTATACTTACAGCAGCTTTTTAAGCATATGGTGTTTGATAAAGATGTTTGAATAGTAAATTTATGAGGCTGTAAATACATGAGACTGCCCTTTAGTCTCCTGCGAGCCTATGCCTTTGCAAGAAGTTTAGGCTATACAGCAGGTTGCTATATTGTATTAATTACTCCTGAGCATGCACAGAAAAATGTTAGAAGCTTTTGGACCTCTAACTTGAGAATCTAGGCAACTATAGAGACTAGGTATATCCAGGAAAAAAAAATAAGTATTTGCCAGCAATAGTTTGGTGTATAATAATAAAGTCATCTTGTGGATTTTATTCTTAAGCTGTAAGTAGAAACAGTGATGCACTTGAACAAACATCATCACAGTAACTGATCAAAGATTCCCAATTAAAAGTCTTGTTACTAATGAATTTACTAACTTACTGCTTTATTTCAAATATTATTTCATCTTATATACCATTGTAGGCTTTATGTATTTGGATCTCTGTTCCAGTAGAGTTCAACAGTATGTCTGAAGCATGCTACTGATAGCTAGGATACCATCACTGAAATGCTGCTAGTTCAGAGGTGAAAAGTAAAAACTATTATTATAATAGAGACTAATTTAACTTAAAAATGGTGTAGGTGCAAGTTAGATCCTTTATAGGAAAAAAAGATGTGATAATAGCCTGCTTTCTTCTTTTTATGGTCTTTTTCCTGAACCCTGTGTTCCTGGCTATTTGCTCTATTCCTGCACCTCTATGGTGTCGCTTAATGACAGAGTTAACTCTCTGCAGCTTACACTGACTAACAAGTCAATTCAGCCGGGTCTGACCAAGATGTATGCACGCGTTCTACTGCTTCACTCTTGCAGTGTGGATAGCTTTTGAGGGCAGATGGGCAAAGTGGGAAGTTAACCTACTAAAATCTCTTCAAAGAAGAAATACACACCTATAGCTAAGTTTAAACAGTTCCACTTACTTCAACCCCAATTTCTTCTCAATAAGATCTTTGAATTTATAGGCACCACCACCTGTAGCTTTGATGACTTTTGTTTCTGTATTGACAAGATGGTCTTTGATGAAATCTAGGCAGGTTTCAATATAAGTGTTTTCAAATTTAATGAAGTGAAGTCGAGCTGTAATTTCCTCCTGAACTGATATTTCATACAAAGGTTCATTTTCTATGTCCTTCAAAACAGAAAAGAATTTCTTTTAGATCATTCAAAGTCTTTCATTGAGAAACAAGGTTATATGCTAAACTACTGAACATCAATACCTGTGCTTCCTTTGCCTTGAAACCATGTTAATGCTATTAAAAACATAACATTCCAAGCTACTTTCAAAGAACACAGTTTTAAGCTGAGACTATAATCAATTCTCCCATGCACTGGATCCACATGAAATATCTCTGTATGAGAAAAGTTACATTTACATGTGACTATGCAGTTTCTTACAGAAGTACTGTAGTTATTTTCTAGACAGATAAATATTTCAAACACTGACAATACAAGCACTTCCAAGAAGGCAGGAAATGTAACTGAGTTTACCTGTGCATGTGCTGCACAACTCTGAAGCCCAGCAATCAGTCTTTTGGTAAAGAGAACACGTATGATATATCACCATGTGAATTTAGATCTAGAGCTAATTAAGCTTGCAAAGCAAAAGTAAGTGCCAAACCCATGCTAATAGCTAATATCCCCTGGACTACAGCGAAGGGTTATCAACAGCAGCCACATACTCATCTGAGCTGCAGTACAAATGCTTAGGGATGGCTGTAAGTGTCAGTATATACTAGAATGTGTGTTTATCTTAAACATTACAGTTATGACAACTCACTTCAGAGTAACAGACATTACTGAAGGTCATATTTAAACTACAAGAAAGTTCTAGATAAAGTTTTATACAGAACAAGCTACTAGGTGAGTTTCAGATGAGATTTCTATTCTACTATGAGAAGCCATTCCAGTACTTCACTCTGAGTCAATCACATGCAACTGATTAATGATACAATTCTCACCTTTCCAGAATGATCAAAGGACCTTACTCTTGCCACTTTGTGCTGTACAGTTGAATAATAAGCCAACTTGGTTAATGAACCACCTGTTAATAAAAAGATGACAAGTTATGATTAATGCCTTACCTTAGAGCAAACAATATAACTTATGTTTATGTATGCTTTACCTAAGAGTTCTTGGGTTTTAAGATCTCCTCAGCTAAAGCAAGATATAATTAAGCTAAATGCATAATGCAGTGAGCTAAAGAACCCTTGTCTGGAAACTGATTTGGCATCGTTAACTCCAAATGCACTAGTTGTGGGGGAAAAGCCCCACAAGTTGAGCTTGTGCCTGACTGATGTGCTGATGACTGAAGAGGAGCAGAAATAAGTGGAAGTTCTTAATTGGCTAGGCTAGCACATGTATTGCTTATTTATCTTGTTTGAAAACTCTTTATAGAAACCCCTAAATCTGCTCCTTTTAAGAGGATTTTATGAGTAGGTTTGCTACAACTGAGCAACGCATGCCACATGCAAAATCAAAAAGTGTTTCATCAGAAATGCTTAAGTAAATACTCTTAACCTGCTTCCAAGGACAAGCTACAAATTCACAGCTGGTTAGGAAATGATTATGTACTGAATAACTATTTTGCAAGACTATTCTTGCCTTTGGAGTAAAGAACACTTACAATGATGTTCCTCAAGCACACCAGTCAGTGAGATTACCAACATGCAAGTCTGAGCAAACCAGCCTCATCACTGCCTTCTCTTCAGGCCTTGAATCTGCTTACATCAAGACGCTAAAACTTCCAATGCTTATTTTGAAACAGAACTTAACCACTTGCCCTATCTGTGCTGTCTTTGCACCTGACCTGCAAAAGTGAATTTATGAGCTTAGACTGAATAACTTCACTAGCTGGTTTTCCTTAGGACAAAACAGTACCTGCTGGTGCTTCTGATACCTCTGGTATCTTAATCAAGTAGATATTTGAGCCTGAAAGTAGGAGGCTGTCAAAGTCTGCTTATTTTTGTTAAAATGACTCTTTAACCACTCCTGAGTATCAGGATCTGATTAAGGTATCTGTTTGCTTCATAAAACTCTAAGCTGCTTTGGCTGTTAGAGAAAAAGCCTTCATTTTAACTCGGCATAAAAAGTACCCTGGGCTGCAGATCCTAACCACCCTTATATACGGTCAATTCTAACTTTGCACCCGTCTGCTCAGGATAGGAGCACAAGGCAGTCAGGCTGTCCATATCTCTCAGTGTTACAGGCCTAACATATAGTTGAATTTAAGTCTGCATGCATTACTTGCCTCTCCCCAAGGATTTGGCCCGTTACCCCTTTCAGCAAGTTTACCATGCATATCACAGAACATGCTGTGTAAAAGACAGGAAGTAATTATGACCAATTACTGGATTAAAGTCAAAACAGTAAACAAAAACCTGGCAATGTTAGACCATAACATAAAGGCTAGATTCAGTGGTCTTATACTTTGTTTATAAATAAGTGTAATCAAGAAATGCAGGATGGGCAAGTGAAAAATTACCAGCTAGTGCTTATAGCTTTGCCTTTGTAACAGTACTCTTATCTCTTCTATAGTGCCCAAATAAACAAGAAAACTTTTGCAACCTGTAGGATAGAAATAGGTGGCTTTCTCCAGCAAAACTCAAGTGAGGTCAACTTAGAGTGATCACTGACAGACACTTATAGTAACAAAAGTAATAAAGCTTTCCTGACCTCAGATCTTATTTCAGTGTGTTAGTCCATGCTTTAAAGTTTCTTGTAAACGAAATCTAAACACTGTTCTGCAAGCTCACTGCTTAAAGGTGAGCTTTCCCTTAGTCTGTTCTTTGTGGTGTGTGTGTGTTTGTTTTTTGGTTTTTTTTTTTTTAGAAAACTAAACTCAGTAGCTCTGTGCAATGAAGAAAAGTTCCCTTCCAAACCTCTAAGCAAAGGAATTGTGAAGCTTGTGTTGGAATGTCATACTTTTTGCACAATACTGATAATAGTGTTTCAGCAATTAATGTCACCAGATAAGTGCTGTGTAAAGCTAAGCTTTATAGTCTCCTCTTCCTATCCCAGTTTTTAAAGACTTAAATCCATTCAGAACACCAGCTGAGACATGTAACTAGGCTTTATAACTAATCCCACAACTCTAATTCCACTCTGACCCACAGAAAGGACTGATTCCAGCTGTTAACAGACACGAAACAAGTAGCTTCTGAAGGAGTTAATACACTTGTGATATGACTACATTGTGTATTATGGTGCATATATTCTTCCTGCTACACAGTAAGTCTACACCACCCATAGCAGCATTAACCAGAGGACTAGTGGGGGCTTGCAGCAGTACCACACAGTACTGTAGCTGAAGAACACTTTCCTTATGGCTTCCCTAGTAAATAGTTCCACTGACCTAGTAACTGCAAAACAGAAGCAAAATGTGTGAATTGGCACTTCTGATTTTGCAGATCTCTCTAGAATGAATGCTAATCCCTGCACATGTGAAACGATTGTTAACAGGCTTAGCTCAGCTGTGTCCCTGCATGGCCCTCACACCAGCACAGTTCCCTGCTGTTGATGCTCAGGTGTCACTTTCTGCACTACTCCCTCTGTCCCTTGGTGCAGCCTGTTGTACACTCAGGAGCGTTATGTTCTCAGGCTTATGCACAGGACGTGGGGGTGTTTCTGGGTGTGACTGAGGAAGCAAGTGCAGTGGCCTACTGTTACAGGGCCCTAACCCATGCTAAACCCACTCATGTCAGCAGCCACCCTGCTTTGCCGGGGCAGGTGGCACAGCAGCTTTCCCCAGCCCTCTCTCTTCTTCAAGGTCCGTTTCGGGAGCAGGGAGGAGCGC